TAGATAGATAGATAGATAGATAGATAGATAGATAGATAGATAGATAGATAGATAGATAGATAAAAATTGTCAAAATATAATAGCATTTTTCTGATGTGTAGAGGTGTAGGTATAGGTATATATTTGGAGCCCTGATATTGTGCTCCATTTTGTAATCCATGAAAGCTCGCATTAAAATGAATCTCATAAGCTTGGAGATTCCACAAGACTCTGGTTTATTGCTGGAATAGACTATAATGATACCCTTCTGGAAAATGTATACGAAATGGCAGCCTTAATGCCTTTCCCACAATATTTTTCATTACTGCAACACTCATCCCTCTACTTATTTGCTTTTGCTGGGGTTGCTTTGGGTAGACAGTGTACATGAGTACAAGGAATGACAGATGCTTTCAGAGATTTTACCTCTGCTTGATATTTTAAAGACATTCAGCAAAGGATAGGGTGTATTAAAAGGATTCACCTTAAAATACACTAGCATTCCCTTTTACTTTGCACAAGATTCTGGAACATAAATTATGGACTAAATTTCTTGTGACTGGCAAGTGTTATTCATTATTCAGAGTAGTGTTTACTGTCTATAAGATTAAAATAGGATATAATCCTGTATAACAAAATAGGTTGATGGTTGTAGTTAAAACCAGCTTCTCTTTTCCTGAAGCCATGGGGTTGGGCTAGGGGGTGGGTAGGGGTTAAATGCACTTTAGACTGTAAGATAGTCGATTCCTTCCTTCCTTCCTTCCTTCCTTCCTTCCTTCCTTCCTTCCTTCCTTCCTTCCTTCCGACTGTCTGATATTGACTGCTTAAAGTTCTTTTGTGGGCATTGGCCTTTTTGTATGATAATTTAACAGAATTCAGAAAGTTACTGTTATCAAAATAAATATGGTCCTATTTTTATAAAAATCATTAATTCAAATTATGGTTCCATATTCTTCAGTAGAGATGGGCGCAAAGTGCTAGTTTGGCAGTTCATGCTGGTTCATTTATCGGCCAAGCAGGCGTTTGGCACCTCCCAGCCTCACTTCCTCCAGTGGGTGCCCACCCAGTGGTTTGTGACGATCTCTGTTCTTCAGCAATTAAAAGTAATAATTTTAAAAATGTGTTTATTTTCCTGTATCTCAAAAATAATTTGAAAAATACGGTTAAGTTCTTTTTTAAAACAGGTCTGCCTGCTGTGTGCTATTCATTGGCCTGTGGTGCAAAGCACACCTTCTTCCTGTCCACACACAAGGTAGCAGCAAGAGGCACAACATGACCCAGTGCCTGATCCATTGGTCGTGGACCATGCCTATAAAAGCAATGGAAAGGAAAAAGAGTGACGTTATTCCTTTTAAAATTACAAGCCTGTTGTTTAGCGTAATCCAAATTGTTACTTTCGTACCCTTCCTTCTTTGGGGCGGGGGAGAAATGCCCCTTTTGTGATTCAGCTTTGCCATATTTCTACCTTTGATATTGGACAAAGGAATTAATTTCAAACAATTTGTTATTTGTCCTTTCATACACTACGCTTGGTAGAGCTGGCATTCATCTTTCTGTTTCTACTCACTCTCTTATTAGATCTCAGAACCCCAGAAATATAAGACTCTTGCTCTATTTTACATTTGCAGAAGGGAAAAAAACCCTACAAGCAAAGCTGTTAACCATCCTAAGAAAGTTAAGTTCCCCCTCGTAGCTGAGCTTAATAGGTTTAGTGGCTTACCACAAGGTTTGAGATGCTAATTACAGTGGAGAGACAGAACTCATCTTTAATCAGAATTAGCATTCAAAGGATTAAGTACAAGAGTGCTTTATCCTATGTAATTATCTGTAGTCCAGGAAAACAAATCTGCTGCATATGTTGTACAGCTTGTGCGTAACAAGGATCCTGTGAAGTCTCCCCCCCTCCCAGCTTCTGCCACTGGTCATTTGGCAGTTACTGTAAATGTTAGTATCCAAAGTCAAGTTTTTGTGAAGTCATAAAATATAGCTGACTGCTGTGTTTAAAAACAAAACAAAGAACCTGTGAAATTACTACTTTACAAAGACAGTTTCTGGGCAGAGTTTTTATTTTTATTTATTTATTTAAAATATTTTTACCCTGCCTTTCTCCTTCAGAGAGAGCCAAGGTGGCTTACATCATTAAAATACAATATTTAAAGATACGAACAGTAAGTATACAAATATTTTAAAAGGATTAAACAGGTACCATACTAAAAGACATCAAACAAAAGCAACAACAAAAATGCATTCAAAGCAGTAAGACACAACCATCTACACTGGTTCCTCGCTTGACGAGGATAATGCATTCCAGCGAAATCGCTGTAGAGCGAAATCCTCGTCAAGCGAAATAAAAAAGCCCATTGAAATGCATTGAAAACCATTCGATGCATTCCATTGCGTTCCAATCAAAATGCATTGAAAACTGTTCAATGCGAAATACCTCAGCGTCCAGCGATTGTGTTCCAATCAAAATGCATTGAAAACCATTCAATGCGAAATACCTCAGCGTCCAGCGAAGATCCTCCATAGGGTGGCCATTTTTTGCTCCCTGTATAGTCAGGAATCTGTTCCAAAACACAGCGGGGAGCCATTTTACACAGCGGACGGCCATTTTGAAGACCTGACGATCAGCTGTTTTGATCCTCGTTAAGTGAAAAAACGGTTCCCAAAGCAGGGAACTGATCATCACTAAAGCGATCGCAAAAAAACCATCGTACAGCGAAAAAACCATCATGCAGGGTAACCATCTAGCGAGGCACCACTGTACTGTATTTAAAAAACCTACTCAGTCATTAAGAAAAAAACATATCT